TTAATGATCAGAACGATGTCACTTACATGTCAGCACTCTGTAGTTTATGATTATCGTAACTGCCCCTGTTTCCAGTTCGAAGACGATTTTATGCAAATTCAGAAATTCGTCGTGCTACTGCGGAAAATCGAGCACTGAGCAGGTGAACTTCTACACTGAAGCCAAATGTTTTGTTAGGTCAGGTAAATTCAATAAGGTGCAAGCAGGCACAGAAATTTATGAGTAGGAACCTACCCAGGTACTTAGTTTTCCATATGTAGAAGAATCAACACATCTTCCTTCAAACGTCAGGAAATTTTCACATCCTGTGCGTCAATCCAGACATACATACATATAAAGCTCAGGTTAAAAATTTTCATGGCATATTCTCCAGCGAAGCCGAAAGTAGCGTTGTTATGATACTATAGTTCTTCATTATTCCAGGTTCGTGGGATTTCCTCTCCTCGTTTCTAAAATATAAAAATATTTGAATTATTGCAAATAAGTCACCCTCTAGCAATGATTTATTCATAGATGTATATATAAATTCATATGATAGTGTTATTATATTCCATTGGAAGGAGTTTAGAAATGTCTCGATTTCCCCTAAATCATTGGCGAAACGTAGCAGAATCTTTCTAAGATTTCATTTGAATTTACTTTTTCATTTCTAATTTTTTTGTGGAAATGAACACGATTCGTTATATTTCCGACTTCGGATAGTAAATTAATGGAATTGAGGCGTAACTCAAGTATAAAATGTGCTCATAATCCCTTTACTCACTTTTGGTACAGAAATATCGAAAGGATTTTTGGAATTTATATCATCTATGACAAAAAGTACAATGTACACAATATCTATACCTGACTAAAGATAAAGAACTACTAATGTATTTATGAATTATCAGTAAATAAAACATGAAAAATAATTTTAATCGATACCTATACTATTGAATCTGCATATTTGATCGTAACATTGAAGATTGAAACATTTTTATAAAAATTCTTACATAAAACCTTAGTTACTGATAAAACATTAGTTACCATAAATGAATACGTTGGTAAAGAGAGCATGATACGTTAGATACCAAATAATATCAGAACTAATTAGTTTTCACATCATTGATTTCACGAACACGTGGAAAAGATTTTGACAGTTCTCAAATTTCTTCATTGTTATGTCCTCTGAAGCCTGATCAATGACCGAGCAAGCACTCCTTTCGATTTCATGCAGTTCATCAGTATTTAACTCACTGCCGGAAATATCGCCGATGTGAATTTTGCGAGCAATAGAAACTTTTTTGGTCACACTTTCTTCTAAATTCCCTCTAGCAACCTTCACCGATTCCCATCCACCAAGTTCTTGTAGGTCTGAAATATCTCCTTCAGCATGGAATATCTCGGCCATAAGGATGAAGCAGAATATTCCTCAGAGCATTATGCGAAATACTCCAGGAAGACCGTTTCTTCAGCAATTTGAATAAAATGTATTTGCTGCGCCACTCACAAAACTGCCGATATTCCTATCCATAGAGGCAAGTTCAACCTCATAGTGTTGGGTACAGGTATTATATCGTCAGGAATATCAAAATCTTGCATGATCTCAATGATTACTTTCTGAAATGCCTCCAACCTTGTTGATTTTAATTTCGCATCGCCGTTGTCAATAATATGGTGAAGCTTTGAATGTAACTCGATCATTAGTGACTTAACACCGTCTCGAACATTATGAATCTCGTTTTATCAATAGCTATAAATCAAAAATAAAACAAAAAGCTGACACTCGTGACAGATGTCGAGTCAAGATATCACCGTATATTATTAGTATATTCCGTAATATGTGTTGTAAGAAGCATATTACGCACGAACGGAAAAGTAACGCACCTAGTTGCGGAGCGGCGAGTGCGTAATTGCTTTACAACACGTATTACGTATATCAATAAAGTTTGAACAAACAGTCTGAATTATAATTCTTGACAGTTATGTCATGTGTGCTGTTGACGGCGATTACGCGATCATGACTGGCAGAATAAACGGAAACTGTGCGATATGCTTACTGTGCGTGAAGAGCTACTTACTGAGGCTGTATCTCGTGTGTTCTTGCCTACTTTCTATAGTGGTCGTAGGTAAAGTTATTTATGGAGCCAGCACGTGAAATAGGCCTACATGGAATGTAATAGCAATAGTATAGCAATAGCGAGCAACAGCGAGCAATAGCGAGCAATAGCCCGCGGGCCGTAACGTACTTTACCGCTCTCTATTCTCAAATCCCTTATAATCATACATATATCAATTCATGATATACCAATATTTTTATAATTTTCAGTTGTATATTGTAAACCTATACATGTTTTTCTCCAACCAATTCCATGATATCTTCGCTATCACTTCACTAACGCACTTCTTTGAATGATTGCTTTCTTGCATTTTGAAGTTTCTAGCAACAGGATGATAGTTCAGCTTGTTTATCAGATGTTTTGCTAGACAATCTAACAACCATCAGCTTGCTAGACAATGTCATAATTAGGTAGGGATATACTGGGTATGCATATTGTAACAGTTCAAGGACCTATCATGAAATGGATTTTATTGAGATCTAGTCATTACCTTTGACTCAAGAAATAAACCACTTATGCATAAAATTTTGTATGTAACACGTGCGTAGAATGCGTTTATAGCCTTCAGCGTGTAATGGTCCTCGGCTAACGCCATCGATCCATTAATCACGCCGCAGGCCATATACGCCAATTTCACACACGTGATTATTCAATAGAACATTTATATATGTGAACTCTAACATAACTCCAAGAGAACTTGAGTTCCAATGAAAAATGGATATACCAATTCAAAGGGAGAGTAGATTTTCACGAATTTTAAAACTCTGCAACGTTATGTCCAAATCAAAAAATCAAACATGAGTCTATCAATTGCGAAATTCTTCATCGAATTTATTGACTATTCTTAGACATGAGCATATTAACAGAATATCGATAGAACCCATTTTAGACAAATCGTAGGAAGAAAATCAATGAGGAATATTCTCAGATATATTATGAACATGAAAAAATGGATATATACATAAAAACAATAAGAGAATTGGGCAGCGAAACATAGAAGTGGTGATTGAGTCGACGTTGAGGAAATAAGTTACATGAGCAATGAGCAACGTCTCCCTTCTCCCAGTTACGTGAAGTCAGTTTGGTAACAGAGCTAAGATGAGACTGATAAAATCAAGCAGATTGAAATAAAGCACAAAAAAATTATACTTGCCAAATTTGTGATGAAGTTGGGCAATCATTGAAAGTTCGTTGTTTTGAGATCGGAGTTTTCCTCCAACGAATTGTCACATAAATATTATTCAACTTCCTGGTATAAGGTTTCTGATGTCTGAAATGGCTATTCAAATTATTCAAATTATTTCAGTTTCCAAGAAACATAAGCAATTCAGAATTATCAATGAAGCAGACTATGACGTAGTACCTGACATATGGCGATATGATAAGTTCATTGTATTTTTTCCTTTACTCCTACGTACCCGAAAATAAGAATAAGAAGAAAGCTGTCAGTATGGTCTCACCTCAAACCCAACAAAAATGTAAACAAAGTACCTACATCTTAGTATGGTGAACATCAGGTTAACAACTAATATTACCAGACTTTTTTTAGCAATTTCTCGGAGCAATTGAAATAACTCTTCAACCTTTCAACATAAATTCAAATTCGAATGATCAACCTCAAAGTCCAACTGTCAGCATCATTGTTATTTTGCATATTCCCATAAATTCATAATCGTCAATATTATATTTATATACATGTTCCGTCTATAATTCCCATTTCATCAGGTATTTGGACCATTTCTGACTATCCTGCTAGAGCGAAATATCCCGAATCATTAGATTTATCGAAGAATTTTGTAACGCTGTACTGGCGTGAGACGGCTCGCATTTTAGCTGATAACCCAGTGGATAGACACATAAAGGGGGTTCACCTTACAAACGGTCCGGTATTCTTGATATGTTATCTGAATTCTGATATGTTATCTACGATGGTTATTGAGTGTTCAAAATGCAAAATGCACCATTTTCCCCCCTCCGCGCCCTCCGCCATATTGAAAAAACCCAATGAAATCGGCACTTCTTCCAGATTTTTGCGTATATCTTCGTTTTGGTGCATTTAAGCTACAAATGAGCTTCATTCAATGTTGTAGAGGATTGAATTTCCTATAGTTCTCGTTTCGAATTCTGTTTCTAGGACTGATAGTTACGGAGATAGGATTTTTTTTATAAAATAAAAAGAAAGCATGTTCCGGAATTTTGTCAAGTACGTTCAGCGACACTATGGCCCCAATGTGATGGTGATTTTTGATGGCTACACTACAGATCCTTCTCAGCAAGGGACCAAGATTGCTGAACGAGCAAGAAGGTACAAGACAAACTCATCATCAAACGTGGTGTTTGACAAAACCACTGTCAACACCGTACCTCAGTATAAATTCCTGGCCAATGAGGGGAACAACGACCGATTTGTGAAGCTGCTCTGCAATGAAATGCAAGCGTCAAATACAGTCACAGACCGAGCTTCCGAAGATGCTGACAGGTTGATAGTGGCTACAGCTAAATGTGTGTCCCCCTCGTACGACGCCGTCATCATTGTAGGAGGAGACATTGACCTACTCGTCCTACTGACTGGCACAACACCTGCAGTGAACAATGTCTACCTCGAAAAATCAGCGAGAGGGAAACATCCAGGCGCAATCTACTCCGCCTCCTCCAATATCGGGCTGCGACACCACATCTAACATTCCTGGTGGCACTAAAGAACAATCGTTGAGCTTCCTTCGCTATAGCAGATTTAAAACAAGTACCACCAAACTCAATTTGGCTAAACTGCCTTCAACCACTGACTCCGCACATTTCCACTTCCTGAGGACATACCACCAGGTCATGGAGTGGATGGAGATTGTCAAAGACCCTATCGAGTGGGGTTGCTGAGTAAAAGCTGGAAGACTGGAGTCCATTAGGATGAGTAGAGACGCTGCTTCCCTAAACCTGCTCACGACCATCTCATGCAGATGCACAACTGGCTGTATGGGAGCGTGTGACTGTAGAAAGGCGGGCCTACATTGTTCCGCACTCTGCAAATTCTGTGCTGACCAAGAATGCAATAACAGGGATGAAGTCATCGTCGACAACGAAGACGATGCCGATCTAGTAACTAATTCACAATTTGATGAAAATAAAGACACAGACTTGAATAACTCACCCCCTACGAAACGAGCGAAGCGCATGTGATTGTTTCCTCTACAGTTCTCATTTCAATTACTACTGATTTAGTATTATTATAACTGTCCTTTGTTCTTACTTTACTGGAGAAAGTTCCTATTTTTTCCGGTTTTTTCAATATGGCAGTGGGCGCGGAGGAGGGGGAATTGTGCATTTTGCATTTTGAACACTCCATAACTATCCTAGATAACATATCGAAAATTCAGAACTACCGGACCGTTTGTGAGGTGAACCTCCTCTATTCACTGGATTATGAGCGTACATGACTATTTTAAGTAGTACCTCTGAAAATGGTGAAGGAGCCAAAACTATATCAACGATTTTTTTCTGATCTCGAATTTGATCGCACGACAAAAATAAAAAACTGTGTTGAATTCGCATGAAATATAAAGAGGAATGATAATTCGAATGTTGAAAATTTGCTCATTCGGCTGACAATACTATCGAAAATTCTGTCAAAAATCTGGAACCAATCAAATTCCTTCGAGATAACAGGATTTTTGCAATTATATAACATAACATTGATTCGTGAGATTCAATTGAAGAAGATTGTGAAAGTTGATCAATGTCACTTTCAGGTAGTGCTTTGTTGGATGAAATTGATCTTTAAATAGGTAATACGTACTGATTAGGGGACTTTCGTTAATACAATTGATTACAGTTGAATATTGTACCTATGAAAGATGACGATCTATGTGATGATGAATTGGGTTCGTGCAAATACGGGAAAAAGTGATGTGAATTCAATGAAAGTGTCTGACTGATTATCTGCAAACCACGTCTATCACGTTCATCATCAATGAGGAGTTGAACGAATTAGAAGTGGAAACTAATTTTTTCGGTAGATATCACGAAATGGGGTACCATCCATCATTGTAATCTGATATGATAATATATAAAAAAGGACAATTCGTCTTGTGGGTGATGCCTCGCTCACAAACTCACTCACTTCTCTGGCATACCGTAGAAAAGTTGGCGATCTGGCTCTTTTTTATAGATACTTTTATGGACGGTGCTCTTCTGAAATATCAAAAATTGTTCCTCCCTTGGCAGTCCTTGCGAGATTAACCCGTTGAGTTGAGGCTTCGCACCCGTTCGTGGTCACTTTGGAGACCTGCAGAACATCTATTTCCAAACACGCGTTCATCCAACGAACAGCAAGGCTCTGGAACACATTGCCAAGGAAGCTGTTTTCCGAGGCATATAACCTCCAGAAATTCAAAAAGAACACCAATTCCTACCATATTTCCCTAGGTTCTCACGATGTTCTCTGAACATTACAGGATATCCCTTTTCGTGGGAACCAGAACATGAAAAAAGTTTGATTTTAATAAAACCATCAGCATCTGAACTAAGTGAACTAAGTAAGTAAAGTAAACCACCTTGAGATTGAGAATTGGCATTGACATAAAGAATTTCCAAACTGATGGATTGAATTTTCCTGTGGAATTGGGGTGATTCGGTTATCGGATCATCTGGAATAATTCGACTGGTTCTTTGATCAATTAATAGTAATCGTTGGGTGCTCATTTTGAATCTAGCATTGATGGATGGCCTTCTACGGGGGCTTGTGAAGTTGTACATATTGTATATTATTGGAAAACCATAATGTCTGTTTTGTAGGGAACGTTTGCGTATAAATCGGCGGCAATAGCATTAATACAACAAACATTTTTTTCTTCAAATGAATTCATCAGTAGATTTGTAATGATACTTAACAGGCAGAAAAAGTGTACTTTCACTGCCTAGGCAGAAAAAGTTTGTGCTATGCAACATTCCAAGTAATTTGAACCAAATTGGAAATCAAAATTGACAATGACTTCGAGTGAACAAAAAATAATGGAATATCTGGACTTTGCGTGAAATTGAAAAGAATTTGAAGGAAAAATTCACTCACGATTGTATTTGCTGCAAATAAAAAAGAACTCTGACCATTTAGTGCTCATCATTATCAAAGTTTTCATACTTCAGTGAGCGGCTACACTAAATACAAATATAACTTGCTCCTTGCCACAATCAATGTAATATTATTGGAGTGTCATTGATAGATATAAACAAAGTGAGTGTTACTTACAATCAGTCTTCGTTTTATCGTAAGTCTATTTAGGTCGTAAATTCAGGTGTCATTGGAAAATTACAGGCATGCGCAAATCACCAACGGCCAATAGTTTGGCTTCCTACTCGTCCTGTAGGTAGAAAATTTCAGTGTGCATCAGAACACCAAATTGTGCAAATCTCATCAAACAGTTGAAAAGGATTTCTAAAATCATACGAAGCCATTTTCTTGAAATTAGATTGCTTCATACAAGAATTTTCCATTTGAATGGAGTGATACATATACTCTTCTCGAATTCATCGGCTAACTTGCTTCGTTTCTTGAAATTTCTTGATATGAATTTGCTCAACATAAACAGCATATTTCTTTTTCTGCAACCAACGCAAAAGTCGTCCATTTTGATACCAAAAAAATTAGCTCTTGAATTGACGTTTCTATCACCGACACAAACTTGCTCGGCTTTGCTAAACGCTCCGCCTCGCAAATGCAAAATTCGCTTGTCAAACAAAGTGTCACTTTTGATCCTAATAAAACAATCTACTATTATTCGAGAATATCGCAACTTCAAGTGACATAAATTCCAATTTATATTGGTTCAAGAATTCAGAAGATCTCTGCTTGTCTGAAAGACTTGCAGTGACGTATATACAGCGGTACACCTGCGCCCATTCGACTCTTTAGTCGTTAGCCGCCATTCGTCATTGCTGCTGTTGTTTCTTCTGAAGACGGTGCAAAGCACCTTTGTTTTTCAATGGTGAAGTGTTCAAGAATCGAGTGCACCGAGTCATGGATGATGGTGGTGTAGTATCATCTTCACATCAATGCGGCATCCCATATTTGAGGATAATTTGCGGGAGTAATAACTTCGTATATTTTCGTAACATAGTTATACCTAGTGAGGTGTTTTCCCTCCTCATTTCATCAGAAGCATGCTGAGAACCCTGATATCAATTGTACCTGAAACCTCATAACCTGCACAACACACATTCGTTCAGCAGTGACGATTTGACCAGTCGCATTCATTCGATGAACGCACTAATGAATATAGGTAGGTAATTGTCCATTCTTTGTATATTTCAGATTCGGTTCCTGATTTGAATGATTGAACCAATAATAAAATGTCCTCTTCCTTCGTCTACTTTTATATCCATAATAACTTTTATACATGCTCTATTGTTGAACGCAGAATGTCTTGTAACCAGAATGTATCTGTTTGTCTTGAAATTTCGGTTGTTTTCGACAATGCCTGGCTGTGAGGAATGAAAATCCTGTTTCTTTTGAAGCAAGTTCTATAGGTATACGGTTGTTGATTCCCATTCAACAAGCATACTCTGCAAAACACACACAAAATTTTTCAATTGATGATTTTACTGATTTCTCTATAGGTTCTCGTGGTTCAACATTCGAGCCTGCTCAAGCACAGCGACATTCTGGGGAAGAAGACGAGGACAACAAATCACAAAAATCTAGAGAAATGGATATTCTTTCTCCTAGATTAAGCTACACATAGTGTTTAATCCAGAGCTGGGACCCGTACTAGCTCGCAGTGCCCTAGCCTGCACGAACCTGTCTCCTTAGCCCAGAGTTGTAATTTATATGATGCTCATATATTGTTCATTCCTCTTCTTATTGTTCATATGTTTTTCATTATTCGGATAACGCATATTCAGATTCAAATGAAACGAATATATAAGAAATGTTATATGTATTCTTTCACCATCTCATAGTACCAAATGTATACTTTAATAATGGAAAATCAAACCTTTTTTCTTTTACCGAATGAAATCGACCTAACAACAAGTACAATATTTATTCACGATTGATACATTCGTGTCATTACTGTAGGTACTTTGTGTCTGGTCTCATTTTTTCTAGAGGCAATCAAAGTGAGATCCAGTCCCAAATACAGGTATTTTTTTATTGTCAGTAAGTTTTAATAATGGTAATTGATGTTTTTTCTCGGTGTGATATCTTTGTGTGAACGGCTCAGAAATTTTAATTTTTTTGTGTGAAATGGATGCAGCAATTATTGGGGATGACTGGAATGGAAAATGCGTTAAATTCGCGTCAAATTCGTGTGAAATTCCTTGTTAGTATATATATATTTGGGTATTATCGATGTGAGAATTCCATTTTTTGATAATTTCGAATGAAATTTGCGACATCTTGCGATTTTTGAATGCAGGCCTGAGTTTAATATATCATTACGAATGAAATTGAGACGTATCCAAATATTCGTGATGATCTCATCACATACTACTCACAAAATTATCTACTTCCTTCGAATATAAGAATACAACTAACTATATACATAATATTATGTTCTTCACGTTATACACTTGAACGACGAGGAAGGCATTGCGAATCAGAGGATCATCGCATTCTACTAGAAAAATATAACTGGCTATGGTGAACTATTAAAAATAATTATTTTATCAGAATTTCTACCATAAAAATAGTACAGATCGATCTGTACGCTTCGCAACTGGTGCGCGATTTTCCTATATTTCTAATTGATACTCTATTTATCTGAATATCAGATTGGATAATGTATAAATGTCTATCATTCTAGCGGTACATAAAGTTAATTGTTTGAAGGGAATATAAATCTTTTTAATTTATTTTTTGTAGAATATGTGACGTATGCATTGATACATTTCGAGATCACGTAATACATGATCGTCTCTAACAATATCCCTGATTTAACGACTCGGGAAGTTTGCATATTTTTGGTCAGTCATTAGAAATACTTTATCACTTGAAATTTCATCTGATTCGTCTTTTGTAGGTACAAAACACATGTGCGCGCGCTGGACCAGCGAATTTGAATTAAATAGTTTCGACGTCTGAGATATACGAACAATATATTTACTTTTAAACGGGACAACCCGTATGTTTAAAAAATTCCTGTGACAGCTTTCTATTGCCGATGCGGCACACAAACTTTCAATGG